CTCTAGCCCTTGATGAGTTTCCATTTGGCTGTGGGCACCTAGGCCACGGGAAGGGCACGTGTTGGTCTCTCCCCGCACTGTGCTGCTCCGTGGTGTCTACCACCTTCTCTCGGGTGCACTGTGGGTTCTAGTCTTGCTCCGCACTGAACCCGCTGCAGAGCCTAAGAGGGCAGCATGAGCTGGCAGGGACATCACCTGCTGAGCCAGACGTGACCCTGGTCCTCCCGACTGTGGGTCCCAGCCCACAGAGCTCCGGGCTCATCAACCACGAGCTCCTGCTGTATGCCTGACCCCCCGCTGCTGGGGACATCAGCTCCGATGATTCCTCCTAAACACTTGCACATCACCAGAAAGTGTTTGTAGGGCACTCTTAGGTAGACAGGCCACTTGTGGCTGTTGAAGGTGGGCCTGAGGACCCTGGGGGCCCACCGTCGGGCGCACCTCCCACCATGCTTGCCAGGCAGCAGCGGTGAGATCTGGCACCGCCCGTGCAGCCCAGACCACCTGCTGTGCCCAGCTGGTGCCAGGCCGCCCTGCCTTCTCCCTGTTTGTCCCACTGCTGCGCAGACGTGGTCCCGACACATCGTCATGCCCCTTCTTCCATCTCCCTGGAGCCCCTCTGCCACAGTCCCTCCCTCTTCCTCAGAACTTGAACCCCATGACCCTTTGTTTCCATGATCCAAACCCCACATTCCTTCTCCACGCACCTAGTAATGCTCCTAGGAGTGACCCCAGGTAGCACCTAAGGCTTCCCACATGTGGCTGCCTTGCGGGTCTTCCTCCTTCCTGACCTCAACCCCAATCCCTGACTTCAGGCTTTTCATCCCCTGCAGCTGGTATGTTTCACTCCCTGCCCTGGACTTCATTGCATGCCAGTGCTGCCCAGCTTAGGGGCTTTGCTGTGTCATCCTGACGCAGGGCCCACACCGGCCCTCGACCTCCCTGGGACCTGGGTCTCACGGCCCTACACCTGCCTCTCCCAGGTCTGCGCTTGAGCTGTCTGCCCCCGCACTCTCAGCTGCTGGCTGTGGCGGGAAGGCCCCAAGCCAGGCCAGCACTGTCAGCTAGGCTGGGTTTCTGCTCAGAGGTCGCCGCGTGCAGGTGCACAGAACACCCTGGGGGGGGGGGGGCTGCCCCGCCCAGCGTCCCTTCCCAGGTCTCCCGGCTCCGCCTGACCCCAACCCCCGAGCTGACGTCATCGGGGGATGTGATGCCTCTCTGCCCTCTACATCCACTTGCGTGGGCTTTAAAGGGCTAAGCCATGGCCTCTTCTCCCTGCTGGGGTCCCCGGTGGGATGCATCGTGGGGTCTGTGGGGGGTTTCCGCAGTGGGGTGCACCGTGGGGTCCGCCGTGAGTCCCCGGCTGAGTTCCTGTGGCCTCTCCCGCTGCGCCAGCCCCTTCCTGCTGGTCACAAACGCGCCTGGAGACCTCCACCCCCTCCGGACCGTCCCGGCCGGGTTTGTGCTGGCAGTTGCGCGGCAGCCGCGTGCATCCGGCTCGGACAGGGTCCGGGGCCGCTCGTCCGGCCTCGAAGGCGCGAGGGGAGGAGAGACCGCCTCGCTCCCCGCCCGCCCCCGAGACTCTCGCGAGACCTGCGGGCTCCTGTCAGCGTCCCGGCGGCGCGGCGCGGCGCGGCGCGGCGCGGCGCACTTCTCGCGAGACTGCGGCAGGGCCGGCCCGACATGGCGGAAGGTAGGGTGTGTGCGGGGCCGCGGAGAGGCGCCGGGCGGGGCGGGGCGACGCGGGCCTCCGGGGCCGCCCGGCCGGGCGGGAAGCTCGCGGGGGCGCGGGGGGGCTCGCGGGCCGTCCTGCTCAGGCCGTGCGGGCGGCGCGGGCCGGCAGCCCTGGCGCGGTGCTGAGGCGACGCCCCTCTGGCGCCAGTGACCCCGCGGGCCGCGGCGGCTGCGGGCGGGACCCCGGGCGGGCGGGCGCCGCGGCCCCGCGGGCAGCCGAAGGGGGCAGCCGGGGCCGTGTCTCCGTGTGTGTGCGGGCGGCGAGGTGGCGTCCGGGTGGAGGCCCGGAGCCGGGGGCGCCCGCTGCTGTTGCCGTCGCCCCGCGGTGGCGCGCCGGGGCCGGGCTCCTCCCGGGACTCGCCGCGCGCCCAGCGAGCGCGGTGGCTGCTCACCAGCCGTGTTGTGGGCCGGGAGCTCCGCCTGCACCGAGCCGTCCCCCTCGGACCCCCGCGGGCGGCCAGGGTCTCTCGCAGGCCTTTCCTTTCCCGTCGGGACCGGACTTGGGAGCAGGCTTGTGCAGGGGTCAGGGCGGGGGTCGCGGCTGAGCGTGGCGGGAAGCAGGGGAGGAGTGAAAGGAACGAGGGACGGCGAGGGTGTGCCGCGAAGCGAGCTCGAAGCCAGCTCGGGGTAGATCGCAGGTCACATCGACGTTGATGGCTGGTGGTTGGGCACGGCGGGGAGGGCAGGACGGGGTGTGTGAGGCAGGGAGGGGGGTGCAGCGGGGCCTGCGGGTGCCCTGCGGGGTACAGATGGTGGCACTGCCCCACCTTGCGTCAGGCTCCCGCCACGCGGACCTCCTGCAGGCTGGGCACACGGATGAGTGGAGTCCCGCTCCGGGGAGCCCTGGGAGGCCGCAAAAGGTCCTTCGTCCCCACGCGGTTAAGTTGGCCCGGGATGATGGAGAGGGGAGTACAGGCCTGAGATTCTGACTTGACAGCTTCTCTTTTATTATTACCTTTATTTGTGTCTGAGTTTTCTGGCCTGTGTGGTGATTTAAGATTTTGGGAAACAGTGTTGCAGAACTTTGACGAGGAAGATCTGCGTAGGGCATCGAAGGTGTTACGCGAAGGAAGGCGAGAGTTGGGAGAAAGTCTTGGCGCTGTTTAGTCCTGCTTGTGCGTTAGTCAGAATTTGTCAGAGCTGGCTACCCTTGTTTTGAAATACTCATTTAAATATAAACAAATAGAAATCTGTGTCATGGGAGAATGAGATTATCTGTGAGCGTGTCCTGTGGGAACTTCTGATAATGGTTTCGTCTGGGGGTGGAGCGCGAGAGGTGTGGGAAGTAGTGCCTAGGAGTGTAAATAGAACCCGAGGACGCTGAGTGGACAGTTCTCTTCCGCTGTGACTCTTCTAGGAACCAGCATTTTTTCCCCTTCTGTGCATCCATGGGTATTGGTTTGACCGATGTATTTAGCTAAAAATCTGTCCTAATATTACTTTCCTTTTTCACTCTACATGTGCAGCTATCCTACTAATATAAACTTGCTTCATCAGTCAAAAAAGTCCTTCCTATTTGGACTTCCTGGTTTTACTTTTTCTCCTTGATCTTGCTTCCTCACAGCCTACTTTTACAGTTTCCAGTGTTCCCTTTAAAACATAAAATCAGGGCAGCCCTGGTGGCTAGTGGTTTAGCGCCGCCTGCAGCCCAGGGTGTGATCCTGGAGACCCGGGATCGAGTCCCACGTTGGGCTCCCTGCATGGAGCCTGCTTCTCCCTCTGCCTGTGTCTCTGCCTCTCTCTCTCTGTGTATATCTCTCATGAACAAATAAATAAAATCATAAATAAATAAATAAATAAATAAATAAATAAATAAATAAATAAATAAATAAATCAAAAAATCAGATCATGTCTCTTTCACTCTTCTCAGTATGCCTACCCCTGCATACCCCACTCTCCACTCATGGCTCTCCGTGATCTTAAAATATATTACAAAGCCTTCCAGTGCCCTGCAACTCCCAACAGGGTCTGGCCCTGCAACACTATTTCCTACTTCTCATTGCCGTGCTCTCACCACTAACTTCCTTGTTCTTTGTACATTCCCAGTGCTTGTACCTCTCCATCTTTGTCCTTGCAGCTCTCTTGGTCTGGAACAGTCCTGGTTTCTGCATACAGCTCACTGACTTATTTGGTTCACTTCTGTCACCAGCAGTACCTGTTCACTTTCTCCTTGAGGATTTTTTTCCCCCCACAAAGAAAGAAAGCTTATCCATTGACTGCAGTGACTCTGGATGTGTGGAAGAGAGATGCAGGGTTCCTGCAAGGCAAGCTGGCTCTGGTTGAGACGTCATCATGATTTATTTACATCATGCCCAACAAAATGATAAATTCCTGTGTCAGTCTTTCTCTTGTTGAATTGGAGTAGGCCAAGGACCTGGGGTATTTTTTGAACTCTACCTCGTAAGGCCCTGTGGGTAGAGGATGGGATGAGCATGGAGTAGGAGGAGGGAGACCAGTGGTAGTTAAAGCAGAGTAGCCAGACCTAGAGCTTCTTCACAGAAAACTCTGCAGTCTGTGAGGGGAGGTGAAATGCATGTGTGTAAGAAACTGTATTGTAAAGGAGAAGGTGAAGATGCTAGGAGTTAACTGAAAATTCAGATGGGAAGAGGCTTTGTAGGAAAGTGGTAAGGGGGTTTGTTTTGGGTGGTGAGGGAAGGCCTTTGCTGCAGGAGATAGTATTTGAGATGTAATGTGGAAAATAGACCTCTTTTGGACATGGAGAAATGGGAGTGGGAAGAGGTCACTCTTCTTGGTGGAAGGAATAGTGGGATATGAGGCAGGTTATGAAGGATGGGTTAAGCATTTGGATTTTACTCTGTAGGCCATGGAGTGAGGCTCCTGAGTGATATGAGCCAAGGTAGTGACATGACTAGAATCGTTGGAGGCACGTGGGCATGTCTACAGGGTAGACGATGGATCTGGGAGGAGGCCTTCACAGTTGGTGAGGAGTTCTTTGGTAAGGAGCATTGGGGCTGATATGAGTGAGACTTACAGAAGGTATAAAACACAGGACTTTCGAAGCCTGTTTTTATGTTGACAAGAGAGATATCAAAGATGATTCAAAGGCTTCTGGGTCTGGATGACTCGGAGAATGGCTGTTAGGAGGAGGAACAGATTTGGGAGCAAATATCTTTTTTTTTTTATTTTTAAAATTTTTTTTTTTAATTTTTATTTATTTATGATAGTCACACACAGAGAGAGAGAGAGGCAGAGACACAGGCAGAGGGAGAAGCAGGCTCCATGCACCAGGAGCCTGATGTGGGATTCGATCCCGGGTCTCCAGGATCGGGCCCTGGGCCAAAAGCAGGCGCCAAACCGCTGTGCCACCCAGGGATCCCCGGGAGCAAATATCTTGACCTCTGTTTTGGACGTACCTTGCGGTGTCCAATGCTTGTCTCTTAGCAGGCAATGAGAAGCATTTCCGGTCCGACTGGCATTTGGGTGAAACTTAGCTAGGTAACTAATATTTATTGCATATCTCTTATGAAGCCACCCCTATGACCAGGGCTCCACAGAGTGAGGTTTTGAAGGCTGTGTGTCATGCCACTGACATGTAGATGAGACTGCATGATGTGTAGATGAGATTTCACAGAGCTGGGTTACATTCAGGAAAGTGTATTTCATTTCTGTTAGGTGCAAGCTGCTGTGCCAGGCGTGACAGAGTGAACAAGACACAGTCTTAGCCTTGACGGGTCTGTGGAGCAGACAGGGAGTCACAGTTTCTCAGAAAAGCATGCATATTGTGTTTTATAGTCACGGATATTGTCCAGCCACACTCTGAAGTAGGTGACCTACATTCCATCGCCAAACCTGTGGGTCCCATGAAGCTCTCACACGCGTTCCTTTCTGTCTGCTGCCTTTCCATTGATTCAGACGAGTGACTCTTCACACAGAGAACCCTGCACATTGGAATCATCTGGGGAACTTTTAAAAACCTGGATTTATGCATCACTCACCTCAGGGAAGGGCAACATAGCCCATAAAACATTTTCTTCAAACTGAGTAATTATTGAATAAAACATGGTTTTACTGAATCAGTTTTTTTTTTTAATTTTATTTATTTATGATAGTCACAGAGAGAGAGAGAGAGGCAGAGACATAGGCAGAGGGAGAAGCAGGCTCCATGCACCGGGAGCCCGATGTGGGATTCGATCCCGGGTCTCCAGGATCGCGCCCTGGGCCAAAGGCAGGCGCCAAACCGCTGTGCCACCCAGGGATCCCTGAATCAGTTTTTTAAACAGATATGTCTATGTATATGTGTGTATCTATGTTTATATAGATATACATGAAATAAGGTAATATTTCTTATCTAACAAAGGAGTCCTGGGTAGTTAAGTTTTATCTGTAACTAAAGTAAAAGGATTTTTTAAAGCAGGCGTTGGTTAAACGATGGCTTTTGTACTTTGTGAAAGCATCAAGGCAGTTACAATTGCTAGAATTTTTTAAAAGTGTATAAAGTCAAGATATGAATTATCTCTTAGCACCATCATATTTTTAGTAATATCCAAATGGTGTGTGTGAGAGAGAGAAGCAGGCGGGTGCAGACTGGCAGGGTCCTGTGGCCCTGACTGATCCTTTGCATATTCCAGATGGTACTAACTGCCTCTTCCCCTTTTCCTTTCCAGGAGGCCATGTTGTGAACCTGAGTTCTCAACAGTAAATTACTTTGTAATTCTTACTTAATATTCTCTGTTGCATGATTGTTCTACAGTTAGCACTCTTTTTTTTTAAATTTTTTTATTTATTTATGATAGTCACACAGAGAGAGAAAGAGAGAGAGGGAGAGACACAGGCAGAGGGAGAGGCAGGCTCCATGCACCGGGAGCCTGATGTGGGACTCGATCCTGGGTCTCCAGGATCGCGCCCTGGGCCAAAGACAGGCGCCTAAACCACTGCGCCACCCAGGGATCCCTTAAATAAGGTGTTTTTTTTTTTTTTTTTTTTTTTTTATGATAGTCACATAGAGAGAGAGAGAGAGGCAGAGACACAGGCAGAGGGAGAAGCAGGCTTCATGCACCGGGAGCCCGACGTGGGATTCCATCCTGGATCTCCAGGATCGCGCCCTGGGCCAAAGGCAGGCGCCAAACCGCTGCGCCACCCAGGGATCCCTACAGTTAGCACTCTTGATTAATGAATAGATATGAACCCCTGTGAAGGAAAATTTCCTTCTGCCCTGGGAGGGGTTTAGAAAAATCATAGTGGTGGTAATTCATCACTGGGGAGGAGCTTTTATCTGTTCTGATGCTGGTAAGGAAGATAGTAGGTTCTGAGAAGTTGATATTTTAATGAAATACTGTTATTGTGGAAGACCCTAATATATGCCTGAAACAACAGGTATTCTTATAGCTCTCAACATAGGATTTTTTTTTCAAAATAGGATTTAAAAAAATTATTTATTTATTCATGAGAGACCCAGAGAGAGGCAGAGACCCAGGCAAAGGGAGAAACAGGCCCTATGCAGGAAGCTCAATGTAGGACTCGACCCCAGGACCACACCCCAAGTCAAAGGCAGACGCTCAACTGCTGAGCCACCCTGGCGTCTCTCAAAATAGAATGTTATCATAGCTTTTACAATTATTTTTTCTTTTATCTCATGGACATGGTTAAAGCAGAGTAGGAATAATGTCATTTAGTCAGTAAAGAATTGTACAAATAACCCTAACTTACTGGTAAAATTGGCACTGGAATTAGAACTAGAGAATTGTGAAGAAAGGAAACAGCAAGATATTGTTAATCTAAAAAGACTTGATGTGTACAGTTTGGGTTAGAATCAGAGTAAGCAGAGGGACGTAGAAATTGCATTTAGGATGGGGAATGGGAAGAACACATTTAATTCCTGGTTAATGAATTAACAATACATGTTTTTTTGCTGTCCTGATATTGGAGCTGAATTTAGGCAGCGTGGTACAGTGGGATGAGCAAGGGCTTTGGCTTGAGATCTTGAATCTTAGGTTAGTCTCCTGCTAATTGTATAATTTTAGACAATCCGTTGAATCGAAGTGAATTCTGTTTGTACTGTTTGGAATACATTGGTTAGAATATGAGAGAATTAACTGCTATAGGAAACATAAATATTAATTCCTCTTTCTATTGCAAAGTGTTACAAAACTGTACATTTTATGTACTGTGTAAAACTTTGCTGTTGACCCTAATCCAGCAAGAAGCTGCTAGGGCTTTAGAATTTTTTACTGTGCATAATCTTTTTTTTTTTTTTGGTAAGGGTAAATGTATTAGTTTCCTAGGGCTGATGTAACACGTTTCCCCAAACTGGGGTGGGGTGGGGCTTAAAACAAAAATTGTATTCCTCATGGTTCTGGAGGCCAGAAGTCTAAAATCAGTGTCACTAGGCTGAAAGGAGAGTGTCACCCAGGCCCTACTCTCCCTCTGGGAGAGAATGTGTTCCTTTCTTCCTTCCGCTTCCAGGGCTGCTGGCATTCCTTAGCTTGTCAATCGTCAAGGCTAGCATCTCCATTTCTCTCTTCTGTCTTCATATGGCCTTTCCTCTGTCAGAGCTTCTTCTGCCCCTCCTCGTAAGGACATATGTAATTATTCGTGGGGCCTGCCCATCTCAGCTCTTCAATTTCATCAGTCAGGTCTGCAGACCCCCCCCCCCCCCGCCATTGCCATAGAAAGGTAACATTCACAGGTGCCAGGATTAGGGCGTGGACATCGATGGAGACCGTTTTCCACCTACCATAGTAGGCAGCGTCATGAAATTTGATCTACTAAGTCGTAAGATTTCTAAAATTCTTCTGTTTGTGTGCAGTTTCTGAATGCTCAGAGAACATGCCACACAGTTCAAAGTACTGTCAGTGGACTACAAAGATAAATAAGACGTTTCCGGCCCTCAACAAACTTCTTAGACGAGCCACAACACCTCAGTAGGAAGCTTGTACTTTTGTAGACAGTGGAGAACCAGCTGAAAGTGTTTGGCTAAGTGAAGCTGTGTTTTAAAAAAATCAGTCAGGGATGTGTGTGTGGAGTACAACGACAAGGGAAGTATGAGAGAAGGATGATAGGAGCATGTGAGTGAATGATGTATAGCTTCGAGAAAATGTTGGTGTGATGGTGTTCAGAAAGAGAAAGATGTCAAGGTGCATCCCAGAGGGACTGTGTTGTTAGTTTTATTGAGGCATAATTGACGAACAGTAAAATTCACCGTTTTTAACTTGTCAGTTGACATATTTACAGTAGTGTAGGTACACTGCAGTCATGATCTAGAACATTTCTATAATCTGAAGGAGTTCAAGGGAACTCCATTTCTGGGCCTCTGCCTCAGTTCCATTTCTGGGCCTCTACAACCATTGATCTGCTTTCTGTGATGTGATTTCCCTTTTTCAAATGGAATTATGTAGTGTGTAGTCTTTTGTGTCTGGCTTGAACTCAGCATGTTACTTTTGAGGGAGTATGTTCATGTATCAGTAGTCTATTTTTTTTTTTTTTACCTGGGAGTAGTGTTTCATTACATTACTACCATTTGTGTCCATTCACCAGCTAGACCTTTGAGTTGTTTCCTGTTTGTACAGACATGTTTTCATTTTTCTTACCTAAATACCTGGTAGTAGAACTGCTGGGTCACAAGGCAAGTGTATGATTAACTTCTGGAGAAACTGTCGGACTCTCTTCCAAAGTGGCTGTGCTGTTCTGTATTCTCACCTCTACATCTTTGCCAGCACTTTTCCTTTTAGCCATCTAGTAGGTGTGCAGTGGCCGTCAGTGTGGTTTTAATTTGTATTTCTTTAATAACTAATGATACGCATCTTTTTACTTGTATACTTGTCATGCATTTATCTTTGGTGAAGTGTTCAAATTTGTGGCCACTTTTTATTGAGTTGTCTTATTATCGTGAGTTTTAAGAGTTCTTAATATAGTCTAATAACAAGTCCTTCGTTGGAAATACGCTTATCAGATAGTTTTTCCTTGTCTGTGGCTTGCCTGTTCATTTTCTTATGTGTTTAAAGAACAACTTTTGAAATTTATAATGTCTAGTTTATTCAATTTTTTCTCTAATTGATTCTTTTTATCCATTTAAGAAATCTGTGCCTCATCTAATACTTTTTTTTTCTATTTTTTAGTCTAGAAGTTTTATAGTTTTAATCTTTATGTTTAGATGAGTCAACTTTTCCATAGAGTGGTGTGTGAGAGTTGGGGTTTTCTTGCTCTATATGGATACTCAGTTGTTCCAGTCCCATTGTCCTGTCCTCATTGAAGTGCCTTGGCATGGTTGTCAAACCACCTCACCTGGCTGTATATGTGCAGGTCCGCGTCTGGGTTCCAGGCCTTCCGCTGCTCTCAATGTCTATCCTGATGCTGATATGACATTGTCCTGGTTATTGCAGGCTTGTAATAAGTTTTGAAATCAAGTCATGGAAGTGCTGCATGTTTCTTACCCACTCCTCCCCTCAGTTGTTTCAGCTGTTCTAGGTACTTTTCATTTCCATATAAGTTGTAGAATT